AAACAGAAAGAGGATACATGACAAATATTGAGATAACAAGTAATGAGGCAACGAGAGGTACTAGATCAAACGATTCCTGTGTTGAGAGTCGCTACCCTATCTTGAGATGATTTGATGATTTCGGGGCTTTTTAGTGTCCCCGCGGCCCGGTCCTCGACCAGGCCTCCAGGCCCCCTAAGTCGAGGTATATTTTTAGCATTGATATTTAATGATTCTTTAGCGTAGAGAGAAATGCCCAGCAGCTGGAAGACGGCAACCATAGTGCCAGGATACAAGACAGAACACAGAAATGTAGTAAGATGAAGATGAAGATTAAGCCATCCAAAAGGTGGCACGGGCATGAATAGCCCGTAAGTGGTGGCCCTTTTGAGCCATTACCAGTATCAAGAGCTGATACTGGAGATCTGTGGAGGTGCGACTGCACCCTGCGTGACGGGAGATGTCTCCCGTGTAAATGTAGCATTTAACGACACATTACATACTTACAAACATACATGCTACAAAATGGCTTCCGGAACTGAAAAACAGGAGTTACGAGGAGAGACTAGAGGCATTAAATATGTCACACTACTAGACAGAAGAAAAAGAGGTGATATGATCACCACTTACAAAATACTAACACGAATCGACTAAATTCACAGAGAGGAATTCCTGAAACCAGCAACATTCATTAAGAACAAGAGGACACAGATTCAAGCTAAGGAAACGAAGGTACGGAAAAAATATTAGAAAGTTTTATTTTGGAAATAGAGTGGTAGACGGTTGGAACAAGCTAAGTGGGAAGGTGGTAGAGGCCAAAATCATTAGATGTTTTAAAGTGCTATATATGACAAAGAGTGCTGGGAAGACGGGACACCACGAGCGTAGCTCTCATCCTGTAACTACACACACACACACACACACACACACACACACACACACACACACACACACACACACACACACACACACACACACACACACACACACACACACACTCATACTCACACACTCACACACACACTCACACTCACACACACTCACACAGGAAAATACACTTTAATAACATCCTCATCTCGGGCTATATACTTTTTAACAAAGAATAGGATATCCGGCGGATAAAATTTATGATAAGTGGCCAGGGAAAGAGGACCTCCCAAGGCGCCCTGGGGCAATACCTTCCCGTACTTCCGGGAGAGAGAGAGAGAGAGAGAGAGAGTACCGTCCCACGGGCTAGAACAGATGGAAGGGATGGGTCAGGGACGGAGCCATTGCATCAGTGGGACACAGCATCTCTTGGCTTCTAATATATTAATCTCCTCGATTGCTTCCCGTTTCTATGTCACATTTCTTTTCTCTCTCCTTCCTCCCTCCTATGTCCCTCTTCCTCTTCTCTCCAGCCGTTACCTCCTCTTTCCTTCCCGTCAATTCCTCTACCTCTCCCCTCTCCTTTTCCTTCCACTCCCTTTCCGGAAGTGTTCAGCGTTTTCCAACCCTGACACACATCTTGTCAGGGTCATCTGCTTGTGGTGCCCTGCCCTCTCTCTCTCTCTCTCTCTCTCTCTCTCTCTCTCTCTCTCTCTCTCTCTCTCTCTCTCTCTCTCTCTCTCTCTCTCTCTCTCTCTCTCTCTCTCTCTCTCTCTCTCTCTCTCTCTCTCTCTCTCTCTCTCTCTCTCTCTCTCGTCTCTCTCTCTCTCTCTCTCTCTCTCTCTCTCTCTCTCTCTCTCTCTCTCTCCTCCTCCTGAGACTCCTATGGCGGGAAAGTACAAAATATGGACTGTTTGTACACAAAATAAGACTTTTTTGTACTACTCGTATACTAATTGGTATATAATCTAATCTGGAACAGCCTGTAACCATTAACCTAACCTGCCCTAGAAACAAATGAGCAATCCTAGGTCTAATATGAGCAAGACATGTAGTTTAGTACGTAGTACATCTGTGTACTATACTAAGTCGTTGCCTCGTCTCGTGTCCTCTACAAACTGCACAGAAAATGGAGTTATTTTGGAGGTAAACATTTCATGTATATATATGGAGTAACTCCATATATACACTCCATATATACATGCGAACAAGCCTGATTGGTCCCCAGGACTATATGCAACTGACTCCATATATGTATATATGTCCATATATACACATATGGAGTGTTACTACACATATATAACACTCCACAAGTCGGTATATCAACCAGCAAGTTTGGGCTAACAGGTTTGTTTACGTCTATCAGCTGGTCTGATGACGTCATAGCTTACTGGGCGATGATTGGTCAATGACCGAAGCCTCGCCACGAACGCCAGCCAATCACACGCAAGTTTTTACTAGTGTGTGTGTGTTTTGGCCGCCGCATCAGCTGTGCGCAGGCGCGTGGCTGTGCCGGCATTTTTCTGATTGGGTGATTGGGCAGTGTCCCCCCCCCCCCCCCGAGCTCATGTTTATCTTCCAAAATTTGGATATTTATGAGATAAAGTCTTCAAAACAGGAATATGATTTCCAATATTATTCTTCCTCTTACGAAAAGTGTGAGTGTGTCTAGCTAGCGGTTGTTAAGAGAGCTTGCAAGGCTAGGTTAAGTTAAGGTTAAGAGAGCTTGCAAGGCTAGGTTAAGTTAAGGTTAAGAGAGCTTGCAAGGCCGAGCTTCAGTTCTTGGGCCACGCCTTTTCTGAGCCGTTTGTTTCTGGTCATATCTGTTAAAGTGATGGATAAAGCTATTCTGTTGACGGTATATTGGGTGAACAGTTTCCTTTCGTCCCTGTACTGACCTAGTTGTGCTTGCGGGGGGTTGAGCTCTGGCTCTTTGGGCCCGCCTCTTTGGACCTGTGGCGCATCTGGGTTTATAGTTCCTGTGTACGGCCTGTCGTTGTGGTTATGGTGATTCTAATCAGTCTATCCAATTACAGCCAGATTTCCTTGTATTTTCTATGTCTGGATTATGTTCCTTATCTCTCTCCTTATCCTTGAGTCATCTGGTTCAAGCAAGGGGCGTGCGTGTGTACGTGCGCGCGCGCAAGTGACCGTAATCAGTAAAGAAACTTATAATAAATAAGAAAGGTTTGGTTCCCAGCATGAAGATATATTTTTTGGTACAGGAACGGGGGAAGGTGATAAGAATGGAGCGATAACGTATAGGAATGAATAGATAAGCGCAGAATAATATAAGAACATGAAGTTGTAAAAGCATTATTAACCCCATGCGAAGCAGCTCTTGCACGTGGTCAGGGGTCACGGGGGTCACAACACGTGGTCACAGGGGTCACAACACGTGGTCACAGGGGTCACAACACGTGGTCACAGGGGTCACAACACGTGGTCAGGGGTCACAACACGTGGTCAGGGGTCACAACACGTGGTCAGGGGTCACAACACGTGGTCAGGGGTCACAACACGTGGTCACAGGGGTCACCACACGTTGTCAGAGATGAGAAGTGCCCAACGCAGCATCCAGGTAGTTTCTAGAAGTGGTTGACCCCGTGTGGGGTACTTTTTATGCTTCAAATGGCACTGTCTCTCCCCCCCCCCCGGTCTCTGTCTGGCTTCCTGTCTGCGTGTGTGTACTCATCTAGTTATGCTTGCGGGGGTTGAGCTCTGGCTCTTTGGTCCCGCCTCTCAACTGTCAATCAACTGGTGTACAGGTTCCTGAGCCTATAAGGAACCTCTTATCATGTCTACATTTGAAACTGTGTATGGAGTCAGCCTCCACCACATCACTGCCTAATGCATTCCATTTGTCAAACACTCTGACACTAAAAAAGTTCTTTCTAATATCTCTGTGGCTCATTTGGGCACTCTGTGTCCTCTAGTGCGTGTGTCCCTTGTGTCAAATAGCCTGTCTTTATCTACCTTATCGATTCCCTTGAGAATCTTGAATGTGGTGATCATGTCCCCCCCCCCTAACTCTTCTGTCTTCCAACGAAGTGAGGTTTGTGTGTGTGTGTGTGTGTGTGTGTGTGTGTGTGTGTGTGTGTGTGTGTGTGTGTGTGTGTGTGTGTGTGTGTGTGTGTGTGTGTGTGTGTAGTTACAGGATGAGAGCTACGCTCGTAGTGTCCCGTCTTCCCAGTACTCTTTGACGTATAACGCTTTGAAACTACTGACGGTTTTGGCCTCCACCACCTTCTCACTTAGCTTGGCTGGTTTCAGGAATTCCTCTTTGTCAATTTGGTCGATTCCTGTTAGTATGTGGTATGTGGTGATCATATCATCTTTTTTATTTTCCTGTGGCTCTGGGTGTATGTGTTTGCTATTTGTGTCTGCAGACTAGAGCTCTTGGACCCCGCCTTTCTATCCAATATACTAATCCTCTATTATATCCATTACATATATTTCTTTCAAACACACACACGCTCACCCTCAGGAAGCAGCCCGTAGCAGCTGTCAAACTCCCAGGTACCTATTTACTG